TAATTTGGTCTTTTGTATAATAGTTCTAGCTAGGATAGTTTATTTAAAATCATGAGATTGTTTTACTTGAGGAAAGTCTTTGTGTTAAATTTTCCACTAAAATTCCTGCCTATCAGTGTTTTGGATTAAGATACAACAGCACTTCCAGGGACACTGTCACTTCTTATCTGACTGTTGTTGTTTTTAGTCATCATTCTCCTCCTCAGTGCTCTTTCATCTCCTCTCCTCTTCATAATTTAATCTTTAACTGCTTTTGGGGGACTACATGGCCACATTTCTACTATCAGGACAATAATTTTGACTCTGCCCCTGAAAGTTGAAAAGGAAGTTAACAGTAATCATTCAACCACCGAAAAACGCTTCTTTAATCTGTTCTGTACATTATCTGATAAAGCTTCTCATATGAGGTCTGAGCATGGTTGAGACCCACCTGGGGCTCTTTCATAAAATGCAGTTTGTGATTTAGAAAGTCTGAAGTGAGGGAGGCCTCACCGAGTTTGTAACAAATGTTCACCCAGAATTTGATATTTCTGGCCAATATACTCTTACTTGAATATTTTTAAAAAATGAAATAGAATTTCAGTTTATTATGCACCATTTATACCTAATGGATCACAACTTCTGTGACTGGAATTTTAGAACACACACTCAAATTAGGTGTTTATTACCCTCAAGAGTTAAAATATTTAAAATATTGGTATAATTTAGTTGATGTGCATCAAAATCTTTTCCGCAAAATTTTCTAAGCAATTATTAGTAGACACTGTCTCAGAAATACTGAACATCATTTCTGGTGATTTTTTTTTCACATGAAGCTCAATATGCAGTTGATTCAGCATATCTAAGTTAGGTAGTACAGTTATAAATATTCTATAAGAGGCTAAGGTCTTAGCTGCATTACCACAGTCATTATGCCTGAAACTCAAGAATTTACTGGCAGCTACATGAGAAATAGCCCCGGTTAGATATACTGGAACTTGTTGGAAAGAAGACCTTCAAAGTCAAACTGTCCCAATGAATGTCTTTTTGTCTGCCTGCCTGCCTGCCTGCCTGCCTGCCTGTCTGTCTATTTTTGATATAGGATCTCTCTACATAACCAGGCTATCCTCAAGCTTCCAAAGAGCCTCCTGCCTCTGCCTCTCAAGTGCTGTGATTAAAAGAATGCAGTGCTATACCTGGTTTTGAGTATATTTCTTAAACTGAAGACTATGGGCATGGTCTGGAGTTTGATTTTTCTACAGTAACTTTTACTTGTAATGTTTCATTTTATATTAAATTAATACTTGCATTCTAAATGATGTGAACAGATTGTTTTATCCAAAAATGTTGCTACACAGTGTCCCAACCCCCAGGGTACTCAACGTGGGTTTGTTAGACACCTAGGAGAAAAGTGGAGTGCAGGGGGTACAAGGATGGACGCCAAGACAGGAGTCTGATCAAGACGACAACTTTATTCATCCCAAAGGGATTTATATAGGGGAAGGGAGGAGGGGAAGGAATGGGGGTGTGCTGCAGCTGCAATGAGCCTGGTGGAGCAAAGGTCAGTGGGATGGGTAGGTCATCCTGTGTTCTCTGGTAACCTAACTGCAGATTCTAACTTTACCTTTCACATTCCACCTTCTATTGTTTAAGCCTATGCCCTAGATAAACCGCAGGACTGTTTCTGGAATTTGGCAGGTAGCAGGGTGGTCCAAAGTTACTTACTTTCTATGAGGGTTGAGTCATGTACATGGGGCAGCTGTATTTGGATGGTTGATGGCCGGAGGACCCTGACAATACAGGTTCAGTTTACAAAGTTGGATTTGTGTTTATGATTGTTAGACCCAAATAGTTTGATTTTGTTATAGATTACTAATATATCAGAAGTGCAATATTTGTGCGTTAGACACTTTGTAAAACACAATTATCACCAGGAACCAAGGAGGAAAGATGGATTTAGGCTCATGGTTTCAGATGTTTCGGCCCAAGACTACCATGGTGAGGCAGAATATCAGGATGTAGAACAAAATGGTTCATCTCAAAGAAGCCAGGAAGCAGAGAGTACATTCCTGAGACAACAGGATTTTTCTATTCTCTCTTTTATCTTATCCAGACCCCCAGCTACAGGATAATGTCATTTATACTTAGGGCAGGCACATCCTCTGTAGGCAATAATTTCTGTGAATACCTGACCAGATGCACAACATCAGAATAGATATGTGAATGGAATGCCAAGAATGCCTTAAATGCCTTGTGATATTCAATATGGACAGGGAAACAAGACTATTCTCCCAAGGCTTACATATAAATTATTATATGTAAGATTAAAATTATTTATATAAAAGGTGGCATTAGTCAAAATGAGTTACAAATGAAGACTTAGTAAATAAAAAATAAGTTATATAAATTTATCAATTAATTATTAGGACTATCAAGTACACATAGCAAGTATAATCATACCCTTTGTTCATGTCATTATTCAGATGGTTTGGAAATATTAAATGGTCATTATAACCCTGTCAACATGAGACCTTGTCTAGTTTTTCTTTACTTACTATCATGAAGAAGGAGTTACTTCATAGGCTAGTTCTTTTTCTGTTGGGCTTTTCTTTCTGTATTTCATTCTTCCTGTTCTATAAGGTTTGTTTACAGTGGAATTCTACCCCCTGCTAGGTCTCCTTACTGAATCTGGAAGTTCTAAGACTTTATGCACTAACTGCCCAGATGACTGTGTCACATTGAGGTTTCTTTATGTCCTGTTGAGGCTCTGTGATTTAGAAGATCTCCCTGTGATTTTATAGCTTCTTCAAATTGAGTTCTATTTCTATTAAAGGATAAATTGCCTAGAAACATGACCATCAAGTTATTTCCTGGTTACTATTAGTAAATATACCTTGGAGACAGCAATTCTAGACTTCATGTTTTAGTAAAAGATTTCCATTATTATGTAGGTTACTCATTAATCAGAAAAATCAATGAAATTTGCAGTTGGTTATATCATAGCAGGTTTCTAGTGTTTTTAGTGTCATATGCCTGGAGCTTTCCACAGGATAGATAACATTTGGTTCAGAAAGATAGGATATTGAAACATTCAGTGTGGCAGGTTGAGAATATGCACTGGACACATTGACTGTTCACTGTTGACTATTGTGTACAACCACACTTGTAAGCTTCACACTCATAAAACTCTTACGTGTATTATAAAATGGAATTTGCCATTCACATTCTTTTTAAAGTTGATCTGTTTGCCTAATGTCAAAATTTTGTTCAGCTCTTCTGATAGTTTACTAGATAATCTTCCAGGTAAACTCCAGGAAAGAGTGATGCAGTAACATGCTCTGGAAAGAGATTATCTGAGGATTTATTGTCTTTTTAAGAGTGCCTAGAAGAGCACAATGAATTCAAACTAGAGAGACTAATTACAATGTTAATAGATTAGTCATTAAACTTCACATTACATATGTAATAGTCCTGATGACTCCAGCTATGGACCAGTTAGTTGTCAGAGCTAGTCCGAAAGTCCATTATGAAGATGAGAATAGAGGTAAGATGGGAGGTCGAGAAAAGAGAAGACCCCACAGGGCAAGTAGACTGAAGTGTGCAGCACTATGGGAAGTGAGAGAAACTGTGCCTTCAACAAGATGGAAAGAGTAGACCAATACCTGAGCTTGTCCTCTGACTTCCACATTCACACTGTGACACATGTAAACTCTCACACACAAACGTGCATCTCACATTGTGTGCACGCATGCACATGCACACATGCGCACACTCACCACCCCACTAACTAAGGGAAGAATAAGGTGCTTCTCTGATAAACAGTTTTCTTCTACATAAATGGGAAGCATCTGAACAAAGTGAATGATTTATGCTGTCGTGTAGACATAACTACTACTACTCCATGAGCTCTGAAATTTACATTTATTTTATACCCAATTTATCTTTGAAATGACTTTTATTGCAATAAATAAACTGTGGAGCTCAGTGGGAAGATACTAATTTTGTAACTGAACAGGAATGGTTTTCATCCCAGTTTTACCACTTAATACTTATTAGCTGTTGGACTTTGGCAACTAATTATAAAGCAAACAGTTTCAGTCTCATGTATGCATCTATAAAGACAAAATTAAACATTTATAGAACAGAGGTTTGTAATTTATATTATATTTTGTATATAATATGTAAAGTACTTAGAATTATCTCCATCTTAATAGACAGTTTTAAATTGCCTTGTAGAATGTTTTCATTTTCAAAGTAGTTACCTAGTCATAGTTTTCAAGTATTATCAGAACATTCCTTTATCATTTTGGGTATGTGTGCATTGTGGTTTAATTAAAATATCTGAAAATAAAGTTCAATTTTCTGCTACTGAAAAATATTAGTTTCTTCTATGAAAAAAAGAAATACATACTTATTTGCATTGCTGTATTCAGAATGACGAGTAGCTGATCTCTTAGAAATAGTTATTGGAATGGTGGACACCAGAAGAGGAGGCCGTGGAAGAAGGAAGGGTGTTGGGGAAGTCTGGGAAAGTTTGATTAATTGGTATTACATCTCAGATATTAAAAGGAAGTTCTGAAATACTGTCACACAGTGTGATGACCATAAATGGCAATAATGTATCATCATTACTAGTGCTGGAAGAAAAGATTTTACAAGCCTTCATAATCTAGAAATGGTAAACCTGATTTAAATATTTTCCATATTCATATATATCAAAAGATCACATTGTTATCATTATTATCTACAACTTGTATATTTCTGTGTATTGATCAAAACATTTAAAACTAGATGCAATGTAAATTCATGCCTATAAAAGACACTTAATGTGATTGTCATTATTATTTTTAATGATATATTGTTATTTTTGTCCTGTATTCTATTTAAGGAAATGCCACCACAGTATGTAGGTTTTCCTATCATTTATATAAATATCCTTGTTTTAGCGTGATATGTGTAAGGAAAATATACTGATCAAATGTAAAATTTAGATATGTTAATTGTAATTTTCTTTCTTTCAGAATTACTTACTGTCATCTACCTTTCCAGAGTAAATGGCTCTATGTGGGAACAGAAAGAGGAAATACACATATTGTAAATATTGAATCTTTCATTCTTTCTGGATATGTCATCATGTGGAACAAGGCAATTGAACTGTAAGTTTGAATTTGGCTGTCATTTTGCTTGACTAAAATATTGCATATATTATGTGACCTGTTTGGATTATAATTGTTGATAAATATATCGCTAATAGCAATTAACAAGTGAAATTGAACTAAAATAAAACCAGGTAATTTTGAATAGATACATATATATTAATATATTTTATACATTATAAGTATTATGAATAATAAAAACCTAAATATATCAACCTTAATAATAGAATAGAATAACAGTACATTTTATTCATATAAATCGTCTCATGATATTATAATTAACATTAGCATAACCATAGTGATAATGTATTGTTATATGAAAATTAATCATAATCAATATACATAATTATTAATGATAACAGTTTATTTATCTGTTGCCTTATTAGAATATAATTCTGAGAACAAAGAGAAGCAGCTACTAGATCTTCATGTTTTGACAATACAGCTTGCACTTTTTTGTTCTTTCTCATTATTTTATGTGTATGGATGTTTTGCCTGCGTGTTGTGTCAGTGAACAATAAGCATGCAGTGCCTATGGAGGCCAGAAGAGGGCACCGGATCCCCTGGAACTGGAGTTGCAGGTGGTTGTGAGCTGCCATGTTGGGGCTAAATAGCAAACCTGGATCCTTTTGTAGTGTGGTCAGGGCTCTTAACTGCTGAGACATCTCTCCAGCACTACTGCTTTAGCTTGGGCCTTACTATTTAAGCTTCTGCGCATGTAAAATGTGAAACATGCAAAGCTAAAATTTTGTGGACTTCAAGTTTCTGTTTGTGTAGTTCATATAATAAACATAACTTTTTGTTTTAATAAGAAAACAGTTTTATTTGTTACCTGTTTTATTCATGTCAAGTCCTTAGTAAGATATGTTTGACTTGATGCTGACTTGTTTTCCTATGTATTCTGGTACTCTCTGATGTTCTAATTAAAACACTATTTTCATGAATCTTAAATCTGATAATAAATTATTTCTCTAATCTCGATGATTTTCATTATACTATTATTTCCAAAGTATATTCCATAGAGCTTAATTTCACTGTGATAAATACAAATTTAAATGTCAATTCCTAATCTCCTTAATTGTCTTTTAGTAACTTTCCACTTCTTAAGATACATTAGAAATACATGTCTCAGAATTTTGTTCCTTTTCTGACAGTTAAGTTTTGCTAGTGCAACTTTCTAGAGTTTTGGAAGTTAATGTTAGAGAAACAGACAGAAAATATGACAACATGCTAATAAGCATCATCCTTAAGTAGCAAAGCAAATAAAAAATTTCCTCTTAACTTTTGATATAATATAAAAACAATCACTTTTATCCTTAAAATTTCATTACAAGTAGCAAATTTAATGTTGAATTATCTTCTGAACTAGAACATTTTTATTATTCAGTAAGGTTCTAAGTGGAAGAGTCTAGCATAGGGTCTAGCCTGTATTTGCAAAATAAATTCCTTTAATGTGATTTTATGATTAAAAATGGAATACATCAATAATTTTGGAAACAATTGAATATTTGATTATACTTGGATATAGACTTACTATGCAAATTTATGGAGGTAAAATATTTAACATTATTTCATTCAGTTTCCAAACTTTTTAAGGGTACATTTTTCTTTCTATGAAACATTTTATTGTTTTCAATAGTTTATCATGCAATACACTTTAATTATTGTTCTAACCAAATCCAACAGACAGCTGGCAGTTTTGAATTGTTGACTGTTATTATTTAACAGAGTAGTTAAGAATATTATTCTTTATTAGGGGCATTTATCTTTCCAGAACACTACAGCTATATGTAAGAATATATTACATATGAATAGGACTAAAAAAGCTCTATTAACTGTTCTTTGTAGCCCCGTTTAATTTCTTTGAGAATATACTCTTGAAAATAGATAGTAATTCTGATTATCAAATAACACAATGATCTCAGTACATACTATTGAATATGATCCATCTTTTGTCATTAAATTTGGAGAGATATATAGATATATCCAAGCATATCTATATAGACATATATCTATAATCTAAAGAAATATGTAATTTTTCAGTAAGGTCAATGGTACTGCATCCATTTTTAGATGAGAAAATATATCTTTGAATTGGGCAAATGAATGAATTCATTCACAAAATTTCTCAATGTCTAACCTATATGTTCCTTGGAGTCACTATAAGAAAAGCCTAGAATTATTTACCACTTTAAAATAGTTTCTAGGTTTAAATAGTTTTTACTATTTTGTGAAGGGTCTCTGCGGATTTGATGTGTTCTTAAGAAATAAAGAGTCGGCATGGTGGCGCACGCCTTTAATCCCAGCACTCGGGAGGCAGAGGCAGGAGAATCTCTGAGTTCGAGGGCAGCCTGTCTACAGAGCGAGTTCCAGGACACTCTCCAAAACAATACAGAGAAACCCTGTCTTGAACAACCAACAAAACAAAACAAAACACCCAACAACAACAACAAACAAAACAAACAAAAAACCAAGAAATAAAGTACAACAATGTCAGTTCAACTTAGCCCTACAACACTGGGAGTGTATTCCCGCTTAATTTTAATTTCTTTGTCATGCTCGCATGCCTAGTTTTAAATTACTGTGATTAATTTAACAGATCCACCAAGACTCACCCAGGCCCAGTTGTTCACTTAAGTGATAGCCCAAGAGATGAAGGGAAAGTAAGTATGCTGCATTATTCTTGCTTCTGTTTTTCTTATATTTAGAAGATATTTTAAACTGTTTCTTGAGATTTAACATCTAACTTGGTTTGTAGTGTTCAGTGGCATCTAACAATAATAAAGTGTGAATGAGCAAGTGAACAAACAAATTAAATACTCTTGCTACTAATGTTCTAAGTTTTTAGTTTGCCTAAAACTAAATTTGAATCTTAACTTTGCTTTAATGAGAAGGTAACAGGGCAGCTTTTATTTCTAAATATTGTGTGATTTACCTTAGTAGAATGATTAACTGTCATTAATCATGTATCTGTTATTTGGCTTTGGTATTAACAAAGTCATGACTAATATCCAGTAACACAAATTAGATAATTTTGATTTTCTTATAAATGCACACTAATATAGAAAGTATTTGCCCAATTCATTGGGATAAAGTCCAAGTCATTTGTGAAGCACACTCTGAATGTGTCTGTGCTGGAGTTCCTAGCAGTAGTTAGAAAAGGAGGGCTCTGACTAGCTCAATGGATCTGTCCCCTGATGGCCTCATTACATGATAACAGTATTGGGGCAGCAGGAGTAGGAGATGGAGTCTAGTTGGAGAAGTAGGTCACAAGAGTGTTCTTGGATCTGTTTCTCCCCTGGCCTCTTCCTAGTTGCAGTTTCTTCACTGCCATGTAAAGATCAATTCTTCCTCATCTTCAAGACTGATAAGGACTACACTTTGACTATTTATTTATTTGTCTATCTATCTATCTTTGGTTTTTCAAGACAGGATTTCTCTGTATTGCTTTGGAGGCTGTCCTGGAACTCGTTCTGTAGACCAGGCTGGCCTCTAACACACAGAGATCTGCCTGCCTCTGCCTCCGGAGTGCTGGGATTAAAGTGCCACCATTGCCCGTTCTGACTAGACTGAAACTACAAATCATAATAAATCTTTACCTCCTCTAGTTGATCTCCTAGATATTTTGGTCACAGCTATGTACATATAGCTAATAATTATCAGATTATAAAAACAATTTTGATTATTTCAAAATTTGCCTTTGATAATGAAATTGTTTATAGCTTGATTCTAAAACATTGTCTTCGTGGATGAATTATAAAGTCTATAATTCTTAATAGATACTATTCAAAAATTATGAAATAATTTACTGTAGTTTTAGGTTTTTTGAGTAAATTATTTATTTTTAAAGAGGAGGAATTGGGGTAGTCTAACAAAATTCCAACGTGGAAGGCAAGTTCAACGGATGAAGCAGTATTAGGTACATCTAAATTGATGCATAAATAGACTGTAATACTAACCAGGTGTTGTCAGAGTTTATTTTTTGTTGACAAAATCTTTCTAGGCCTCAACATACACAGAGAACTACAGGTAACTAAGGAATGCTGAGAGTGGGAGACAGTCTTCTCCAGGCAATTGCCCACCAACTGGCTGTTTAATGCCTAGTGGTCAGCCCTGGAAACATACACAGAAGTAACATAAAAGCTGAACACGTTGTCCATAATGTGTAAAATTGTACAAAAGTATCAAGGAATATATGCATATCTACAAACACATATATTCATGCAACTACAGTTAATGAGACCATTAATTCAAAGTAGGGCAAGAGGGTAGATGGGGGGTTGGAGGGAGAAAAGGGAAGGTGGAAATGATGTAATTATATTATAATCTCTAAAAATGTTTTAAAAATAAATTGTCCTGGGTACTTAAAAAGCAAATGAGGCAAACTTTTCCTGAAATGAGTCAAGTTGTATTTCATGTGCAGGTACAGTTTCTACTAGGATGTGGAGGAAACACCCTCACTGACAGTCAGGGAAATGCAGTTGTACTATTTTCTGATCAGGCTGCAAATGTTAAAATACTAATAGTAGACAGCAAAAAATGCTATGCAGCTATACAGATATAGCTAACACATTATCAGATTATAAAACTGTCCCAATTATTTCATAATTTGAATTAGACATGCAAATATGTAGGCACAGAAAACATGTTATAATCATTTAAGATACATGTTTAAAATCATTTGACCTAGATAATCCTAGGTAATTCAGATATCTATACTATTTATATGAATCACGAATAATGTCTATTAATTGAAAATTAAATAAATGTTGATACAGAGATAATAGAAAATTCACTAAAGCACACTTTGAAAAGAAAGTCTAGAGCAGTGAGGCATAAAACTAAATGAATAATGCATGTATATTTGTATGTGATTACTGCATGCCTAAGAACAGAAACCCAAGTAGATATGTGCAAACCAGGAGAGGAAACTAGACATGGTATTAGGGAAAATGTCAAAGGGGTTTCTTTCTTTGTATTATCCAAGTTTTTTTATGAAAGAATACAGTGTGTGACAACTACACTGATAATTAAAAGGGATTGTAAAATAAATGAATACTGATGCCAGAATGCCAATGTCAATGTGTTGCTCTGCAACATATTAGTCTACCACCCAGAGTAAATCTTGCTTTCTTATAGACTAGGGTTCTGCTTTTATTATAGTCAATTTTGTCAATCTTTTGATCTTGCTTTGTGTTTAGTGTCTTTCCTTTCTTGGTTAAAATCCATAATTATACTTTTCCTGTCAGTTTTGAGTATTACTATTTCATAATTTAAATTTATGTTGTTTTGACAAAGGGGCATTACTTTTATTTTGTATATTTAAATAATCCACTTATTGGTTCAAGTTTCCTACTGTTCAGCAAGTTCCACTTATGAACATGATTTATTTGCTTCTCTCTATTTTGTTTTTATGTAATTTCATAATATTTCTCATAAAAATTGTACATCTCTTTTGTTAATTCTATTATACTAATTTATATTTATTGCTCTTAAGACTTAACTCTCTTTTACATTTAGTATGTGTGGGGGTGGGGCATGCATGTGCCATGGGTGTGTGGAAGTCAGAGGACAGTTTGTGGAGTGGTAATCTTGTCTCAAATAAAGAAGAAGAACCTTGGGTATTGAACTCAGGTTATCAAACTTGACTGCAGTTACCTTTATCTGCTGAGCTCATATTGCTGCCCTCTGAATTAATTTTTATTAAGTCAGTTTGATAATAGCTGATTGTTAGTATATTATTTTAAATGGCAGCATCATTGAATGTTTTGTTTTTAGTGTCTGTCCTTAGATTCTATGCTAGAAATAGTAGTACATAATTTTTATTTCTTCTTTTCCAACATACATAGTTATATGTATCTTATGTTTTCTTGGCATATTGTTGAATATAAATTGTTTATTCCTGGGTTTAGAGTTTTAGCTAACAAGTTGAGACCCTAGATTCTGTCCCTGCCCCACTCTCACCCCCCTACACAAAAAGGACAAAAATATTCCCATCTATTTCTAGTATTCTGAGACTTTTAAACCACAAATGGTGTTGAATTTTGTTGAATGAGTTTCTACATGTATCAGGTTAAGTATTCTTTACTTTTTAATTTGTTGAAATATGTTGATAGATTTTCTTAAACATTTCTTTTTACATTTCTGAGGTAAGTTCAATGTGGAAAGGGAAGCTCTCCTTGGAGGAGACTTAATGGTGGTAATAGGAAAAGAAATGAAGTAGTGATGTTAAGGTTCCTATGGAAGTAACATAGTATTATAGGCAGAAATAGAACATCTTTCCTCAAAGACACTGTTTCTATAGAATTTCAACACCACTCTCTCAAACACAAAAGGGTGCTGTTGTACTTAGAAATTTCTATATATAAAATAACTTTTTGGATGCTCTAGTGTTGTCTCCCAAACACTTCCCTGATTGACTCACTTTAGATATGGTGGATTTAATAAACTTCTTACAGCACTACTTCCTGACGTCCACTAGCTATGGACGTCATGAAGCACCCGTGTCTCTTCTCACCAATTCTGGTTTCACAAAGTATTCTACAACATAAATGACACCATCTGCCTTTCCTAAAAATTGCCACAGTGGTCAAATAGCATGGCTTTCTAGTGAAGAAATGCTTACTTTCCCTCGAGCAACTTTAACCAATGTTAACTGGGTTGTTCTGAGTCATGATTTAGAGACAAGGCCACAAGTCCATACTGATGAAACACTGCCAGATAATTATTGATGGGCCTTTTCTGACTCTCCACATGAAATAATGGCATAATTTTGAGTCATTTTTCTTCTACTTCACTTTCCCTTTAGTACTGCAGTCCAGAGAGTATATTTTTCTTGAAATATTAGCATAAGGACCTTGCCTCAGGCTCACTTTTACAGGACTCTAGTTCAGATAATAATAAATCATAACATCTGCAGTTTCTTTCTTCAAGTTTGCTGAGTCCTTGTCTAGATTCCCCCCCCATGGGATTTTTATAGTTGGATTTTTCCCTCTATAAAAATCAAAGAATTTGTTGAAGATACCAAGTGGAGTGACATTAAACTCTGGCATACAATAAAGTCATAATTACTTGAACATTGTCATGTGAGTAATTGGAAAGGGGCACTTGGAAAGGTAAGAGTGAGAGATCAAGTACCTATGATACTGGTTAATAAACAATTATAATGATGGAGATAAAACAGCTTTGATGGCACTTGTGCTCTTATACTGATACAAGCTATCATACTGATGGTAGTTTAAAGCAGCAACAATTTATTGTATCACAATCCTGTGTGCCAGAAAGCCAACAGCAGCCTTGATGAACTGAATTCCTTTCTAGAAAAGAAGTTGATTTCTTACCTTTTCACAAGCTTCACACATCCTTTGGCTGGTAGTTCCCTTTGTTTTTAGAGCTGAGGATGAACTATATTCGCAGTCTGGTTCCTTGAAGCACTCTTTCTAATCACATGAGGAACTTTCTCCTCTCTTAACTTTATTAGTTTGACCCGTTTGGAAATATAAGGTACCTCTTTGATATCAACATATATCTTAATTATGTACTAGAGGCCTTGTCATGTGAAGGACTGTTTTTATGCTGAGCATCAGACCCAGTGTCTTGTGCGTGCAAATCTTTTGCATGATGTATCATTGCTAAGCACTACACCGCTTGACATTTGGGGCTG